AACTATGGACATGGATGATAGAGTCTATTGTGACAGCCCTTTTACAGTGGAGGAAATCTCTAAATGCATTACTGCACTTAAGGCCAATAAATCTCCCGGTACAGATGGTTTATCTGCAGAGTTTTAGCAATCATTCTCTAATCATATAGCTCCATTTCTCTTACATGTATTCCTAGAAAGTATAGAGTATAACACTCTCCCTCCTACCCTCATTCAAGGTCTTATAACACTCATTCCAAAACCAAACAAAGACCTACTTTTTATTGATAATTGGAGATCTATACAAGTCCTTCTCAAAAAATTTGCATATTGTGATAAAGGTCATTATTTTCCATAATGTAATGATAAAAATTAAACTTTCATATATTTCAGATTCACTGCACACCAACTGAAATATTTCAGGTCTTTAATTGTTTTAATACTGATGATTATGGCATACAGCTCATGAAAACCCAAAATGCCTGTCCCAAAAAATTAGCATATCATGAAAAGGTTCTCTAAACAAGCTATTAACCTAACCATCTGAATCAACGACGTAACTCTAAACACCTGCAAAAGATTCCTGAGGCTTTTAAAAATTCCCAGCCTTGTTCATTACTCAAAACCGCAATCATGGGTAAGACTGCCGACCTGACTGCTGTCCAGAAGGCCATCATTGACACCCTCAAGCAAGAGGGTAAGACACAGAAAGAAATTGCTGAACGAATAGGCTGTTCCCAGAGTGCTATATCAAGGCACCTCAGTGGGAAGTCTGTGGGAAGGGAAAAGTGTGGCAGAAAATGCAGCACAAGAAAAGGTGACCGGACCCTGAGGAGAATTGTGGAGAAGGGCCGATTCCAGACCTTGGGGGACCTGCGGAAGCAGTTGACTGAGTCTGGAGTAGAAACATCCAGAGCCACCGTGCACAGGCGTGTGCAGGAAATGGGCTACAGGTGTCGCATTCCCCAGGTCAAGCCACTTTTGAACCAGAAACAGCGGCAGAAGCGCCTGACCTGGGCTACAGAGAAGCAGCACTGGACTGTTGCTCAGTGGTCCAAAGTACTTTTCTTCAGATGAAAGCAAATTTTGCATGTCATTCAGAAATCAAGGTGCCAGAGTCTGGAGGAAGACTGGGGAGAAGGAAATGCCAAAATGCCAGAAGTCCAGTGTGAAGCACCCACAGTCAGTGATGGTCTGGGGTGCCATGTCAGCTGCTGGTGTTGGTCCACTGTGTTTTATCAAGGGCAGGGTCAATGCAGCTAGCTATCAGGAGATTTTGGAGCACTTCATGCTTCCATCTGCTGAAAAGCTTTATGGAGATGAAGAATTCATTTTTCAGCACGACCTGGCACCTGCTCACAGTGCCAAAACCACTGGTAAATGGTTTACTGACCATGGTATTAATGTGCTCAATTGGCCTGCCAACTCTCCTGGCCTGAACCCCATAGAGAACCTGTGGGATATTGTAAAGAGAAAGTTGAGAGATGCAAGACCCAACATTCTGGATGAGCTCAAGGCCGCTATCGAAGCATCCTGGGCCTCCATAACACCTCAGCAGTGCCACAGGCTGATTGCCTCCATGCCACGCAGCATTGAAGCAGTCATTCATGCAAAAGGATTCCCGACCAAGTATTGAGTGCATAACTGAACATGATTATTTGAAGGTTGGCATTTTTTGTATTAAAAACACTTGTCTTTCATTGGTAGAATGAAATATGCTAATTTTTTGGGACAGGCATTTTGGGTTTTCATGAGCTATATGCCATAATCATCAGTATTAAAACAATTAAAGACCTGAAATATTTCAGTTGGTGTGCAATGAATCTGAAATATATGAAAGTTTCATTTTTATCATTACATTATGGAAAATAATGACCTTTATCACAATATGCTAATTTTTTGAGAAGGACCTGTACTAAAGTGTACCGGAGTTCTGGCGTCAGTGCAGCAGTTCTGCAGTTTTCAGTCTTGAATTGAACTCAGTCTTCATGGAGTCTTCACTTCTGAGTGGAAACTCTGAACGGACTCACAGACGCTTGCTTTGAGCCCACCCGGGCATAAATGCCCTACAACTTCGAAGGGAGCTGAGCCTGTTTGTTGAACGGATAAGTGACACGACTTCTGACGGTGACCAGCCATCCTTACCGGAGACGCTGAAAGGTCGCGTTGAAATGGACTCCTGTTCCTGAGCGGAGGTATCCCGGCATAGGTAACGAGTAGTGACGCCCCAAGTGTACCGGAGGTGAGCTGGTATTGAAAGGAGCGTGCCATCCTGGTCCGAACAGACACTCCCTTTATACATCTTCCTTCAAACCTCTCCATTTAAACTCCTCATATTTCCCATCTTTAAAATTCTTTTACTTCTCCAGTAATTAATCTAGAGGTCTTCAGAAATGTCTGTTGTTTTTATTAAGTAAAACGTGCCAAGTTTTATTAATCAGAACCAGATCAACTAATCAAGTGTACAATGTTTTGATGTTAAATTTTGATTCTGTTCAATAAATGACCGCATTGATTCTGATGGGTCAAAGAAAATTAACGTCTCATGTCACTGATTAAACCATCTATGCACAGTTACCTCGGTCACATGGCTGTAATTAGCTCGAAAAAGAGATAACCCGTTTTTTAAAATATATTGTAGTGAAGGTACAGCAAAGCTGACCTTGACACACTACATTGTTTAACCTTTGACTCAAGTGCGCCCCCTAGATTATTCCAAAAGTTATAACTCAGTGATATATCATCTGATCTGCACCACATTATTGGTGTGACATTAGTGAGCACTTAGACACATTGGTATTGTTGTTTAACTTTTGACTCCAGTACGCCCCCTACATTATTCCAACAGTTATATCTCAGTCATACATCATCCGATCTGAACCAGATTTTTTGTGCATAATCAGTGAGCACGTCTAGACCCATTGATATTGTGGTTTAACATATGACTCAAGTGCACCCACTACATTAGTCCATTGGTTATTTCTCAGTGAAATATCATCCAATATGTACCAGATTTATTGTGTATGATCAGTGAGCACTTGTAAACACATTGGTATTGTTGTTTAACATTTAACTCCATTGCGCCCCTAGATTATTCTAACTGTTGTATTTCAGTTATATATCATCCAATCTGTACCATATTTATTTGTCATGATCAGTGAACCATTCTCCACACATTGGTATTGTTGTTTAACATTTGACTCAAGAGCGCCCCCTAGATTATTCCAACAGTTATATTTCAGTGATACATCATCTAATCTATACCAGATTTTTTGTGCTTCATCAATGAGCACTTGTAGACACTCTGGTATTGCTGATTCATGACTTGACTTAAGCCCGGCCCACTCAGAGAAGAAACTGATGATTATTGGGTGACTCTTCCAGCTTGGCACTGCGTAAGATATAAGACTGAAACCGGATTTGCCAACTGTTGATAACCACATGACATGTTGAAAAGCCTAAAGGAAGTCTTTTACACTCACGACAAAACAGAAAGTGACAATAACTCCCATCTGGAAGGTCGGATTTTAGCCAAACTTGTAAGGCTTACAACCGGACTCATACTGATATGGGCGAAAGGTGATTGCAAAGTTTTGGCATACGCGCACTCTAGTGGACATGTGCGGGAACGGCACGAGAGCGTTCGCGATGGCGACTGGGAGGTGTTGCTGGAGCTCCCAAGGTCGCAGGTGATGTCGAAGGTTCGGCGAATGCGCATTGTTGAACGAGTGCGGGATGGGCGCAAGAGCGATGGTGACAGGGCGGAGTCGTTGGAGCTCCCGCTGTCGCTGTAAGGCCGTAGCGGCGCTTTGCTGCGAGGGCCTTCAATGTTGCTTGCAGCTTTAATTTTTAAGGTGAAATCACTGGACGAGCTCCTTTTTGCAGATTCAAACTGAGGATTCATGCTCTGGACGTCCAACAATCCATCCTTCCATTATCTTTTTACATGCTTTATCCTTTTCAGGTCGTGGGGGTCATTGGTGCCATATCCAGCAGTGCGAGAGGCAGGATGCACCCTGGACAGGTCTCCAGTCTATCACAGGGGCACAGAGACAAATGAGACAAACAACCATTCATTCTCACTCACACATAGGGACAATTTAGTTACCAATCAGCCCAACATACGTTTTTGGTCTGTGTGAGGAGACCAGAGTACCTGGAGGAAAACCACGCAACACGAAGAGGACATGCAAACTCCACCCAGAAAGGCTTCTCAGCCAGGATTTGAACCGACGACCTGCTTGCTGAGAGGCAGCAGCTCTACCAGCTGTTCCAACGTACCGCCTAGCTCTGGACGTAAAATGATAAAATCTGTCCAAATTTCATTGATCATTTTGTACGTTCTCTGTGAAACAAAATAAAAATACATTTTTAACATAAATATTTAAAGTTTATTCTAAACCCCAGAGATAAAACACACCAACGACTGATTGTGTATATAATCTTTTATTTACTCCAGTCCAAGAATTGTACATAAATGTTCTCTGAAAGTATAAAATTTACTTTAAATAAGCTACTATTCTATATAATATTTATGTAAATTCTCATTAAATCAAACCCACGAAGACGTAAAACGGACGACTCCCTGAGATCGTCAAAGAGCGCTTAGAAGGTGAGCTGTCTGGAGCTTCACCCGAGCTGCCGCTCTCTGGTTTTTATTCTATAGCAAAGACAGAAACGTGATGTCTGGGTAAAAAAAAATGCTTGTTGTTCAGTTAGACAAGTTTTAAAGTTTAGTTACTTTGAGCTCCTGTTGCTGCTGTAGCTCAGTGTTCCTGCAGCATCTGCTCCAGTTGTTTTTGGTGAAACATCTCTGGTTGTTACCGGTGTGGCTCCGGTTGTGACTGGTGTGTGTGTGTACTCTGGTTGTTAACGGTCCGTCAGCTCCGGTTGTTGCTGATGCTGTTGTGAGTTTGGTTGTTGCTCTTATTGCTGTTTAAGTTGCTCTGAAATGATTACTGACGAACGTCTGATGTAGAAACGGTTTCCTAAACGGGAAGCCGGTTGAGGATCCGTGTAGATGGTGTTTGGGTCTGTGGGTGGTCTGGTTTTGGTCTGTAGTCTGGTGGGAACCCTGAGGCTGGTGGACAGATGAGCTCTGAAGACAGAGGGAAACAGTTATTATAGCAGGAGTCATCAACAACCCATGTTGTGGACCAAGATCAAATGGACCCTAATGACCCTTAGGAGGTCTGGGAGAAAGACTCACGTTTGAAAATTGGCATTTTTTAAAGTTTGAAATACAAAAGTCCTTGAAAAAGAAGCAAAATCTCTTTTAAAATCCTCTTGATTTCATTGTCTGAACCTGTTGTGGGCTTCAGGAGAAGTAAGAGTCGATCTGATGTGTCCAATAATCTGTGGTTCACAAACTTTTCAGCCTCTGACCCAAAAAGGTCCAGCAACTCCAAATATGACCAGTTAGGTCAAAAACTTTATATGACATTGTTTTTCATTCACTTATCCCCCAAACAGGTACCCCGACCCAGGACTTGGGAACCACTGCATCAGGGATTCAGTTTCCATCGTCAGTTCCTGATTAGGAGATTTTAAATGGCTCTGTATCTCATGTGGAAACTCAAGTTTGGGCTGCTGTTTAACATCTGTGTGTACAAAACAACAGATGGTAAAATAATAATTGAGGATGAGCTTTTGAACTTTATTGTTGTTAAAATGAAAACTCTGGCAACTGATGAAATTGTTTTGCCGGTGTCAAACAATTTCTCCTCTGAATGGATCGAAGAGTCCAAGCGGATATTGTTTGAAATGTGTCCAACTTCAACACGCTGTGTAAAGCACAAGGGGCCTCAAAAGGAAGTCAATAATATCAAAGATGGCCTTAAAGTGCTTAATGAGTGTGGCATTAATATTCCCAGATTTGTATCACACAACCTGGATGAATTACCTCCTGTTGGATTTGAACATATGGACGCATCTGCGCTACTCAGCAGAGTTCAACAGCTAAGCTGGGATATAACTAACCTGAGAGAAACTCTGGATAATCAGAGATGTGAGAATGAGAACGTGAGGACGTCTGCAGCAGCTATCGAGGTCCGAGTGACAGCTTTGGAAAAACTACAAGTGAGCACAGCACCTGGCCAAGAAGATGCTGGACGAGCCAACGCCCCTGTACGGGTGATTCTGAGGGAGACACAAGAAGTGACGGCATCTGCTCCTGTACTACTGGGAAACTCTGAATATTGCGTCCCAGGACCGAGTGAGGTCGTGAACGCCACACCACAGTCTCCAGCGTGGAGCACTGTGTTAAAGAGAGGTAAACACAAGCGGGCCAACACAGCAACACAAGCTGCTCTGCAAGTTTGCCCGAAAAAGGCGCTGCGGAGGAAAGTGGGAATAATTGGCACCGGAGCAGAAGGAAACATCCTAGTGATTAAAACCAAACTGGTGAGTGTTTTTGCTACGAGGTTTTCTCCAGAGCTAGACGCGGATACCCTGCACGCCTATCTCTTTGAAAAACTGGGAAAATCTGTGACCTGCAAGAAAATAGTGTTGACACATAACAGATTTGGGTCATTTCATGTGATGGCAGTGTGATGAAGTAGCTGAACTGTACGACGCACAGCTCTGGCCAGCGGGAACTTATGTGCGCCAGTATTATGAGGCTTGCAAACCGAGGGCGAGTGTTAGCGTACCCAAAGTGATGGAAGGGGAGGCTGAATGCAGCTCTGCACCTGCTGTGTGCACAGCTTTCGAGGCTTCCAGCGAGACAAGCGCTCGTGGCAGATCATAGACAACATGAACCTCAATATCAGTTCATATAATGTACGGGGATTGCGTGTTGGGCATGACAAAGCAGATAAATCTCGCTGCCTTGTTGTTAACAAACTTTTAGAAACCTGTGATATACTGTGTGTGCAGGAGACTTTTCTGTCTAGACAGGACTTGGAAAGGTTAAATTGTTCATAAAGACTTCTATGGAGCAGGGGAATCCACCACTGACTGTTGTGATAGGATACTCCGTGGTAGAATCCCTGGTGGTGTTGCAGTGCTTTGGCATAAGAAGCTTGACCAGAAAATTAAAGTGGTCAGGCTGAATGTTGACTGGGCAATAGGACTCGAGTTCTGTGGTGGGGATAAAACAATCACCATACTGAACATGTATACTCCTTATGAGTGCTCCGAGAATGAATTTGAGTATTTAAACAGACTGGCCTATATTATGGCATACATACAGGAATATGCAGTAAGCAGCATTTTCATTGTGGGTGGTTTGAATGCTAATCTCTCAGACCAAAGGTCTATGTTTGCAAACCATTTACAGCATTTCTGCTCAGATAGCAGTCTCTCTCCAGTGAATTACTTCTGCCAAGGGCAGCTACACTTACATTAGTGAGGCATGGCATACCACCTCCTGGTTAGACCATAGTGATGCTCATAACACCATCAAATCCATGAGAATTAATTATGAGTTATCCACATATGACCATGTGCCCTTGTCCTTCTCTATAAATATGGACAATGTGCCATCTCTTACATCTGTAAACTGTGATATGCATGAAGTAAAAATTAGTTGGTCCACTTTAACAGAAAGGGACAGTCGTACATATCTTACCTAGAGCGAGAACAGGTTGAGTAACATTGAGCTGCCTAAATCTGCTGTAACGTGCACTGATATCAACTGTCAGAATCTGCAACATAGAATTGAACTGTGCTCACTGTATGATAAAATTGTGGATTCTCTCCTTATCTCAGCTCGACATCTGTCTAAGATTAAGAAGTATAAAGCTAAATTAGGCTGGAAGGAGTATGTTGAGAAGTTTCATACTGAGGCAAGAAGGGCATTCAAAGCCTGGCTTGAATCGGGTAGACTCAGACGTGGTCCTCTGTTTGTTAATATGAAGGAAGCTAATTCAAACTTTAAATATGCCCTACAGTTCATTAAAAGACATGAGAATTCTCTCAGGGCTGAGTCACTGGCAAGAAAACTACAACTTAACTGCCCTACAGATTTCTGGAAAGAAATTAAAAGAATGAATGATGAAAAAATGTCTTTACCAACACATATTGATGGTGTGAGCGGAGCAAAGCAGATTCCTGAACTATGGCAGAAACATTATCATGATATTTTTAATGCTGTTAAAAGTAATGCATTTATTGTTGGAAATATTGATAGTAATGAAAATGTGGTTGTGTCCCCACAAGAAGTATTTGAGATTGTAATGAAGCTGGATAATAACAAGGCATGTGGGTCAGATAGGATATCTGCTGAACATCTAAAATATGCAAGCAGGAAACTGTACCCTCTGCTTGCTATATGTTTTACAGGCTTTCTTATTCATGGAGTGTTACCTGACAAATTATTGTCAGTCATTTTAGTTCCTATTGTGAAGGATAAAGCTGGTAAAATTAACAGTAAGGATAATTATAGGCCTATAGCTCTGGCCAGCACCTTGTCTAAGGTACTGGAGAGGGCTGTTTTGAACAAACTGGAAAGATTTTTGCTGACCTCTGATAATCAGGTTGGTTTTAAACGTAAACATGGAACAGACTTGTGCATTTTTGCTTTAAAATAAATTTTAGATCTATACAACAGACACAACACCTCCATTTGTATGTGTTTTATTGATGCCTCAAAGGCCTTTGATTATGTAAACCATGAAAAGTTGTTTCACAAGTTGAATAACAGAGGTGTCCCCAAATGTTTGGTGAGGATTCTTGTCTTTTGGTATGCTAATCGGCACACGTATGTAAAATGGGGAAACTCTGCATCAGACCCCTTCGGAGTTTCAAATGGTGTGAGACAGGGTAGCATCCCGTCTCCCTTTTTGTTTAATGTGTACATGGACGATCTGTCAAAGCTCTTAAATGAGTGTGGAACAGGCTGTAGGGATGGTAACAGGATCATCAACCATTTAATGTATGCTGATGATTTAGTGATTTTTTTTTTGTCCTTATACTGCTGGCCTGCAAGAGCTGCTGCAGGTGTGCTCCGATTATGGAAAAGACTTTGATATAAAATATAATTCTAGGAAAAGCAGCATCATGATTGTGCGGAGCAGAGAGAACTCCGAGTTGATGTTCCCTGATTTCGTTCTGTCAGGCAACAGGCTGAAAATCAGTAATGAATGTAAATACTTGGGGCACTATGTGACTGCAGACCTGTCAGATCATAGAGACATTTACAGACAATGTCGTATGCTCTATGGACAAGCTAACACGCTGATACCTAGGTTTGGACTGTGCTCAAAATCAGTTAAGATCCAACTGTTTAAGGCCTACTGTACTCCTATGTATACTGCTCACCTGTGGAGACGTTATAAAAGGAGCAGTATTTAAAGACTAAATGTGGCATATAATATGGCGGATGCTGCTGAGGGTACCTTGATGGAGCAGTGCAAGCAAAATGTTTGTAGACGCAGGTGTGCCTACCTGCCCTGCGGTGCTGCTTAACCTCATGTATAGATGCATGTGTAGGTTGTCTGAATCTGACAACCGTATCATCGCTACACTGACCAACCCTGGACTAAGCTCTGTGCAATACTTTTCTACTTTATGGACTCATTGGCTTTTGAGCCTTTATAGAAAAACTTTTTAATTCAGTGTTTTTGCTGTTTTTTATGTTTTATATTTTCTATATGGATCTTACATTGTGTCTGAAATAAAGTAAATGATGATGAATATACCGTATTATTTAACATTATTAGGGTTTAGCGTATATCTTAGATCCTTATATATTGTTTCTTTTTATACTTTACATTTTTGGTATTTTGGGGTTTAACTGGGAGCTTGGGTACACAATTTCGTTCCACCTCATGTACCACTTGTGATGTGAATAAAGAACCTTGAAGTTCCTGTTTTGACTCATACACTAGAGAAAATGAAGTCGACACTTTCAGTTTTAAACCACTTCAGATTCATCGGTGTTGCACAAAAAAAAAAAAAAAACACCGGTCCGGTCCAACAGACAAGCTTCCTGATGAACTCTTTGTGTTGCAGAGTTTCATTGTTTCAGCATTTTCATGTTTCAGTCCCATAATCCTCGGCTGAGTCTTAATTACTCCTTGATAATTACAAATCCTGATAATCTGCTGCTGGAATTGAGGCGGTACAGCCGACACACACACACACACACACATACAC